AAATGGTAACTATTCAACTGAAATACTGAAATTACATTTCTCAAAAAATAAAAAAAAAAAAAAAAATCAATCAATCAGGATCAATCCAGCAAAAAATTTACTTTAATTTTTACTCTCTCTTTTTTTTTTCTTTTAAATTATGTGGATGTATTTTAAAAAATCCATACCAGAACTATTTTGTAAAGATAAATGCTTGGATGGAATCATATTAGGATGGAATTGTAGCAATTATATGTTTCGTTCTATAGAATTTTTTTTATGTTTCAAGTTTCATCTTCATACACATAACCTCAATTATCATGTGTCAAAAACTTTGCACATATCTTCCTGGAAAGCAGAACTTGCTCTTCTGAAAGGTCTGGAAGCACAGTCAGCTTTCATCTCAGGTCACTAAAGACAATCTAAAAAGTCATCCCACTTACTGACATTTCAGAGAGCATTAAACCAAACCTGAAAGAATGTCACCCACGTGTCCATAGGGAACAAGCAGAGAGTACAAACTGAACTTCCTGGAGAAGGTGGCAAGGCACAGAATATTACTTATCCTGGTTTAAAAAAAAAAAAAAAAAAGCTGGCAAAATGACTTAATATTTATTCTAAAATAATTAGGAAAAACCAAATCAGTTCTCTTAAGGTGCGAGGTATTTAAATCAACGTCTCTGTTTTTATCTTGTTTCATCTGCAGAGGATATGACATCTAGCATTACACTTTGTTCCTTCTGATTCCTGTTTTAACTGTATCTGTTTGTTCGTTTGTTTAAACACAGCAGTCATAATTTGATTTTCCTTTCAGGTTCTGTATTTGTTTCTGACAAGGGAGTTTATCAAATAACAGGTTCTGGAGACATCAGACTTTCTAAAAACGAAGTGAAAGTGTGAATATATTTCAGAGATATGCAAGGTCAGTGCACATTCTTTTCCTCACATAATTCCTTTTCCATCCTTTGTTTGTTCATTTATAACCCCTGAAGTATAACGCATGAATTATCCTATTGTACACATCAACCACTTGACAGATTGTTTTAGTAAAACTCTTATGTGCTGTGGCTTTCCTTTCAGGCTGCCAGGAAGAGTTTAACAAAAAGGCTGATTAGTTCCTTTAAGTTCTCCCAGAAAAACAAACTACAAAGCAAGTTTACAGTACCCAGGGTCATCCATGCAAAAATCCCACGCGGGCTCTTTACAGTAACAACACAAATCAGAGCAGTCAAAGGTGCTTAGTCAGGAAGAAAAACTGATGATGATGCAGCAGTCTGTCATATGGAGAGCAGAAATATTCACGCTTGAGAATCTTTAGTTAATGACATAATTGTTAGGACACTTCTTAACAAAGCTCCTTTAAGGACAGACCTTTTTTTTTGTTGTTTCGTACACAGTATTATTTTGGTCATAAATCATAAAAATCATTAGACAGATTTATTCCTCTTTAATAAAACCTTGGATAATGTCCATGACACAGATGCTGGTTACATAAATATGTATCTATGTATTCGCCTTACAAACTACCTGCAAAACACTGCAGATACACAGCAGATTCCCAAATCCAAGTCTGGCCCTGTAAGAAGGGCATTACCCTCTGTGAAAATGCTGCTGCACAAAGCTCTGAGTCCAGGCATCAGAATGAAGCACAGACATTGCCTTTCTTGTGTTTTCAAAAACATCAAAGCTGCTTGGAGCCTGTTCTTAATGAATTGTATCCTCCCATCACCCCATAACAGAAGGCTGGGAGGACAAGAGATAGGGGAAAGAAAGGTAGAATAAGAAATGGAAAAGAGGCAAATAGATCCTGAGATAGACCGGGACATGTGGGGAAGGAAACAATGCTGTCAAATTGCAAGGCAGGTAGGGATATTGCAAGGGACAAAGTGCAATTGAAAAAAAAAAAAAAGGCAGCCTGACTTAAATGCCAGCAAATTAGCTCCTGGCATTACTAGCTCTGCTGTGTGGGTTGCAGAATTTTACCCCAAAAGCTCTCAAAAATATTAGTGCACCTTAAGCATGTGTTAAAAATAAATAAAAAGTCAAATAAACTTAATGAAAACATTATGGCATTTGATGATACGCCCCACTGTTGTAGGTAATATCCAGTCATAACATTGGTTCATTGTTTGGGTAGTCTGAGTGAGAATAATCTGGGGAATTATTGCAGAATTGACACAGTCAGACATCCTGATGTTGAAATTATCTGACACCTTCATTAATTTCATGTCCAATTTCAGCAACCCCTGAAACTGTAGCCAGTTATCTATTTGATACACTGTAAAAGTCACAATCACCTCCGATTGGAATCCAGCCTATAAATACATCTCCTTTTTGCAAACATGTGGCACATAGTGACAAGGAACACAGATTTAGGAAAGTAGAGAGAGACATGATTTTTGTTCTTTTCCAGATCCGCTGCCTCTTCTCCCAGTACTCAGCTTGACCTTCCATAACTGTACCTCTACTTGCTCTTCATCCCACACTCTCCCCATGACCCTGCTGCTTCAGGAGCAGACCTAATGTTTGTATAACGACAACTGAGATGTGCCAAACTCCTAATTATAAAGTATTTGTGAAGACTGTGCAAAGAAATTAACTTCTTAAGTACAAAGACAGTAACTGTCTGATTTTCTTTATTTCATGTAGGCCTACTATGAGAAAATCTTGATTTCCCAAGTAAGAGGCAAAAATTATAAGTTACATATGGGATATGGAATATTCTGCTGTAATTTTAAACTATTTGGGTTTGTGTCATATTGCTGGGATGAAATGCAGCTACTTCTCTGCAAAAGTGCAAAGGATCAAGGCCTATTTTCTATTTCCAGGTGCACCGAGGCTTATTATGGGTTAAATAATATCAATCATCACATTTCCCTCTACATTGAAATTGGTTTTGCCCATTCATATATCTTTCATGTCCCTTTTATATATTAAGTTATAAGCTGTTTTTATTTTATTTTTCTTGGCCTTGGGAGTTTCATGTCCAACACACCAGCTGTTCTTGTACCATGATTATATAAACTTAAGCATCACAGAAGTGGGAATGGAATTTAGTGCATAAAACCTTTTGCTATACAAGTTTTCTCCTGGGCAAAACAATCTGAGGTTGTTTTACACTGTTTATATAAATATAATTGAATCTATTTTTTTTTATCTCTCTATGTAACTCTGCACATGGTCTGTGTTACCTTGGAGTTCTTAAAGTACTGTCTCTTTACCAAGAAAGACAATGATTAATCAACAATATAATTTTAAACACTGCTTTAAGTTTTTCTGACCTCACTTTCAGAAGTATCAAATATAGAAAAGATCCAAAAAATGTAGCAAAAATGACTGTAGGTACAGAGGATTTTTTACATGTATTCAAAACTAAGGAATATATTATTTTCTATGGAAAGCAGATTATTAAGGAAAGCATGCTTGTAATACATTATGATTGATAGGGAAACAGCATATATATTTATACATTATATATATTATTATATTTATATGCAACTATATGTATATATTTGTATGTTTGTATTAGACACAAAATGAGGTGATTCATCAGGAAGCAAAACATGAAACATTCTGCAGAGGGCATCTAAATAGGAAATAATAATTCATTATTTTAAGACATGTTTTTGTTCATTGCTGAAGTGTAAAGTACTGTTTTCCATTTCCACAATATTTATTTAGCTTTTTTTCATTAAAAAAAAGAACGGGCATTGAATGATTGAAACCCTACTACTCCTATAAAATTCCAGCTGTTCTGAAATCTTTCATTCTCAGGACATTTGGCAGAAGCAGAAAATGTCCCAGGAATACATTAAAATATTGCATATCAATTAAACATTAAGTCACACCTCTCACAAGTTAAAGGCTGGCAGAGCAAAGCAGGTACATTAAATGTCGAAACAAGCCCTTTTGCTCTCCCATTTTGCTCTCCCTGGCAGTGTGTCCCTGCTACCCCACCTTGCCCCTGACTACTGCTCGTTTGTAATACTTCATCCATTTGGGGGAGAGTGAGGAAAATGGAATCAGAGACTCCAATAAACCACATCTGTCCCTAAACTGTTCTGCCTTTAACTTTTCTTACTGAATGCTGTTTCCCTTCTGCTCCTGTCTTGCCTGTAAAAGTTGATAAGCTGCTGGGGGCAATTTCTGCCTTCTCTCCCATGTGGAGCAATCCTAACTATATATTACATATGCTCTTACCCACACACATACATCTATATGGCACTGTGAGTATAACTGTGTGTTATATGTAGTAATATTTATTTTCTTTCTGTCTTATAAGTAAACGCAGTTTCTAGTGAGGAAGGAAGACATCCTAACAATAGCCATCATCATGTCCTGTTATATTTAATTTGCTTGTTATTTGATGTAAAAAAATTAAAATCATCTGTAAACTATTAAAAGATTGACTTCTGCTACGCTGAACTAACTCCCTATAAGATGATACACTGTAAAGGCTCTTTTGTCCTTAAACCATAATCCCAGTTCATCAAATATCATTAGTGCATTGTGTGAAGCCTTCCTGCTCATCAACAAAATCACCTCACTCTCTTGTAATTTCTGACTTGAATGAATCTGCATAAAATTGAAGATAAGGTGCTTACCGGAAAATAAAAATACTACAATACACTCTAAACTAAATCCCACCACTTCAAAAAGGAATAAGGGGTATTTCTTGTGTCTTCGAGGTTTTCCTTTAACAAAATCTGTGTCTTCACAATTACACCAGGAAGCATGAGGTTTACTTTTCTACCTGTGATTTATGCACGCAGATATTTAGGGCAGGTAGATTTTCTAAGCTCAGAATGCCGCGACTTACTTGTTCTTTCACCGACAAAAACTCTTGCCAGAGTAAGAATGAGTCTAGAAAGACAGGAAGATCTCCTTATCCGTTTAACTGAGGATTAGTCAGCAAAATTACATCCAGATGTTGTCAACAACAAATCACTCACAGGCCAAGGAAGGATGTTTTGATTGTGGGTTATTTGGGTGTTTTTAAGTATGCACTAAAATACACTTACTTGCTGTCGAATCTCTTCTTCCATCTTTACTGGGGACCCCAACTCTGCGACTTGTTTGACACCTTCACTGGCATATCCTCCATACTCCCAAAGGATGTAGTTCTTCGAGTGGGAACTACCAATGATCGCGGACCAGTGGTTGGTGCGTCCTTTAAGGGAGAAAAACAAAAACCAAACAACAATCAATACAGATTCAAAGCACAGTTCCTAATTTTTATTAAAGATTTGAAGTCCCCAGTCTTCACAGGCACCAAGCTTTTGCAGGTGTTGCACGCTGTCAGCTCTCACTACATCAATACGCCACATCTTTAGAGTAGTAAGAACAAGCCAGTGACCTACAGAAATCGAGCATAAAGGGTCAGTAATTATTGGATATAACACCACAGGTAGAAATGGAAAGAAATATTGTATTCCAGCTAATCAAGCAGCCCCTCAGAACATGCTGCCTTAGTATATATTTTCTTCACCAAAGATCTCACACTTCTTCAGGAAGTTGAAGATATCTTTAATTTTAGATTTCCATATCAAACAGCTTTCAGAAGGGAACCTGCAAGGGAAGACTTCAGTGGTCACTCTCAGATTTAATAGCAAGTTGTTTCCTCAGTGATACTGGTTTGTAACAGCCCACCAGATCTGTGTTTGAGTGAAACCAGCAGATTACCAGCAAAAAGTAGATACAAGTATGATTACATTGTCATTAAATGTTACAGGTTTCTGTTTATAGCTTGGTGACCAAACTTTGTCAGGTAGGGGGCTATAAAGGTCTTACAGCCAGAAACTTCCTCCAGCAGCTTTCTGCTGAAACAGGGGTGAAACATTTGCTAGTGTCTAGTATTTCTTCCAAGAAACTTTTGAAATACTGGTAAAGAACTGCTCTTATTTGCACCGACACACCTGGTTTTTCTACTTCTGCATATTTAAGTTATATATGTACAATATCTCCTTTCCCCATCATTACTAGGGATTCTCTTCGATTTAGGAAGGGAGTGAAGAAGTGAATTTTGGTGTTTCTATATTCAGATGTCTCATAGTGTAAGAGTTGTAGAGGTAGACTAAAGGATTCGATAGACTAAAGCATTCCTGTTGTTGCTTCTTGACTTGTTCAGCAAAAAAAAAAAAAAAAAAAGTTTAAAGAAAAAACGTTAGAAAAGCATGATGGAGTTGGAAAGAAAATGGATAGGAAATAGGGAGCCACAGAAGTCCCACAGTCCTAGAAGTAAAAATGAATTCACTTAAATGTCAAATAACATGGATATGAGGAAAAGGATGAGAAAATGAACTGCTCACACAAACAGACAGTCTGGTAACAATGAAAAGGCTGTAGGAGATGAGGGAGACGGAGTGATGGAGTGAGACAATATTTAACATTTTTCTTTGCAGTGCAAAAGGTAGAGAGTAGCAGTAAAAACAGCTGGAAACTGAATAAATGAATGAAAAATGAATAATGAAGTAAATAAAAGGAATGCAAATTTAAGATGTGAAAGGTGGGACAATGGAATTGAAAAAGACAGTGTAGAGAATTTTATAAAGTCAGATGCAGGAACCTAATCATGGGAGAGTAGAAAATAGATTAGAAATGAAAAATGAACACCAACAGTTGGGGAAAAAAGCCAGAAATGTGTAGCAAGCAGAATAGACAGATGAGGGAGATGGTCCAGCTGCATAGCAAAGAGAGCTTTCATAGATTCTTTAGTCCTAAACTTGGACTAAAACACACTTAATGAGTTCTGAGTTGTAGCAGGCCTGATGTTTTCAGAATCAATTAAAACTCATCATTAACTGAGCCCTAAATGGAGAAAACCATTCTGCTAACCCTAAACCTTGCCTGATCCACAGGTAATAGCTGGAGACACTGCAATGACAGAAAGTGGTTTCTTGATCTAAGATCTACCAGTTGGTCCTTAAATATACAGTGGCACCTTGTCAAACCACAGAGAGATACTGTCACTCAGCTCCAGTGATGGGACCACCAGTTTTGCCCACTCTTTCATTCCAGCACACAGGTCTGACTGTCTCACAAGCCACAGACAGCAGCTTACCCTGAAACACAGTGACACTGAAACTTATTGAAAGAGAAGGTTCCACACAGTCCCTACAAACCAAAACTGTATCACTACAGAGAGGAACCAGAGCACCTTTCATTCTTTTGTCAAATGGGCAATGGATAATTAACTGTTCCATGTGCTCCAAGGCTTCTCTCCCTCCCTGTCCTGAGCAGGACAAGAACATCTGATGCCTTTGCAATCAGAGCAGAGATACTGGCTCTGAAGAGAAAGTTTCTGGCCCACCTGCTTGCCCAAATGAGCTGTTTGAGGTATACCACATCTACCCTAAACTTTTCTCAAGATTTGTGCTACATTTGCAAATGTTTCAATCCTCACCTTGACCCTTCCATTCCTTATGAGAACAAAGAGACGACGTGATATTTCTTAAGCTTTTCCTCTAAGCATCGAAGAAACTTCTCTGCATGAGATAATCTGAGCAGTACAAGGTCAGAGGTATTTTGCATCCAGTGCCACTATCCAGCTCTTAAGGCAGTACATGGAGTACTGACAGCTTTCCAATGCTTTTATTTCACTCCATTTTCATACTTTTGAGAAGTTTCTCGGTTTATACACTTATATGTGTATTTTTGCATAAAGATCAAGGTGTCATCACAACATGAGAATATATCCCCTGACACATTTCACACATGTGCCATATCAAATCATGATGGAGAGCATAAGTATTCCTGTTATCACACACGGGTGATACCCAGAGAGAATAAACACTTTTAAGCCACGAGGCATATGTAAATACAAATCTTTCTGACTGGTGAAATGTGATAGGAAATTTAACAGTTCCCCTTCAGCCAGATTTAATAACAAATTAAATACTCAGTTTCCATTTGCCCGTTATCAGAAGTTGTGGTACCTTGCAAAAGTTACCCGAAAAACATGCTCAATTTTATTTAAGCCTTAGTTTGGAAATCAGTTTAACTTTTTTCTTTTCTGTTTGAGGTCTACAAAAGCGAAATTGTTTTAAGAATAAGTTTTTGACCCCTATCTGCAGCTGTGGCACACCTCTCTCCAGTCTGCAGTTGGCACACTCAGAACAAGATTGTGTGGCAGTGGTTTTATTTTAAGCACTGCTTTACAGACTGGATACATTTGATGATTCCTAGACAATATACTTTTAAATTGAATGGAACATAGGTATTTTAATTGCACTGGTATAATAATAAATGTCAAATTATTCCTAATCTATGGAACGTGCAAAAAACCTCAAAACAACTTCCCAAAATTAAAAGTTTTGCACAGTACATTTCAGAAACATTTCTGTGTAATAGCATTTGGAAAAAAGCAGTTCTTTGGAGAAAAGCTAAGCAGCAAAGTATATATTCTTTAGGGATTTTTAAAGCAAACCACAGAATAAGTTAAGGAAAAGATGCAGAATATAAGTTTTATGATTTGCAGAATTTTCTGTGATGGCTCGGCAAATATTTAGTAATTTACCACAGTCCATAATGAAAAATATTATAATTACAGCACAAGCTCAACATTTTAAAGAATAATATCAATTATTAGTTTACATTTTTAATATTACTATATCTGGATGAGATCTTTTTCTTATCTTTAAGAAATTTCAATGTAAAATCTTATTAGCTGTTACTACCAGGATTAATTGTGTAAGTACCAAATGGGTATTTTTTCACTCTTCCAGTTTAAGTAAAATATTAATTTAATTCAGCACTTTGTAACTGGGGGAAGCAGGCTACAGGGTCTGCTATTGCAACAAACTTTTGAAACTCGCTTATTTTCCATCATGCACCCATACTCTTCATGAGTTCACTGGCTTGGATGCAAAAGAAAAGGCCATTTATCGCCAGTATTACATCACTAAGTCACAGTAATTTCATAGTTTTCAGTCATTTTCTCATGCCCTGTTTCTAACCACCAGCTGAATCCATACAAACAGGGTACAAAAAGTGTCACTCTCAGCAAACATATAAATCAGCCAGTAGCCTGAAAGAGCATTCCTGCAATTATTGGCTTTGCTTATTTTGTCTCCCACGTGTTATGCTGACCAATAGTATTTGAACAATGTGCAACTTCAAATGTATGAGACTCAGCATAAGCAATATTGCTTAGGCTGTTAAAACTGTGAGCTGGTACAAACCACGTTTGAGTTAACAAGGGTCTTCTGATGCTGTGACAATAATAATAATTGTTTTTAAATCTACCTAAAAAGTCTATATAATAAACATCACCCACAGACAACATAAGAAAGTTTAAAGACCCATAAATGTGACTCATGTTCTCAAATAGTTTCCTAGACTTTTTTTGCCACAGACTGTGGAGCCAGTAATGAAAAACCAAATGCATAACACACATTTTTGTAACTTCAGCTCTTTACAGTTACTTGAGTAACTGTAAAAAGCAAACTTGCAGCAAAAATATTTATTCTGTAGTTCAGAAACTTAAAAACCCAGACAGGAAAAGTTCGAAAGGTGGTTTTTTATCTCTGTATTCGACCAACAAAGACAAAGAAGACAGAGTATTCTAAGTTATATATATATATATACAATTAACGCCCTTGGGCAGCAAGACTCAAAATTCACCAAAACTAACTGGAATCATTCAAAAGAATTTACAGGAAAACAAACTGGCTAGATTGGCATGGTGGAAAAATCAACATGTTACTATGCTGCCCATCCTTTGTAACTTTTTCTTAAAACCTCATTTCCTAGCTGTACATTATAAACCAGCCTAAGCTACAATACGAAAAAAAAAAAAAGAAAGGAATTTTTCTCATTACAAAGATACTTTAAAAATATGATCTCATAAACACCTCAGCTGAAAATGTCAGGCAAATCAATAGGTTTTACTTGTAATGTATAGCACAGAAAGATCCATTGATTTTCAATACTGAATGTTAGCAGGATTCCATGCGTGTCATGATTTTCACAGCAGAGTTGCAAATAAGTAACGGTGTGTCACACAATAAGCTCCAACCCTCTTCACACTCCCTACATGGTGCAAGCAAAATAATGATACTCACGTGGAAAGTCTTTGGGATGTGTTTTTTCTGACCAGTTTCCATAAAAAGTCAGCCTGTATTTGGCAGTTCCACAGGCACAACAATCTAAAATTGGTTTGTCGGTCACACCTTCCGAGGCTGAGTCTGAAAAAGTAGTAAAGTACACATTGAAAATGGCTACAACTCAAAGCAAACAGAGGACAGTGAAGCTGTCACAATAAATACCCCAGAAAATAAATTTGTGTTAAGCACGTTTTTTTGTTTGTTTATTTTTAAGTTTACTGTTACACTAAACTAGAACCCTGAAGCACCTGGACCATATTTATTAGTGGATGTAATGATTGAAATCTACATTTTAAATAAGGTACTCTTTGAGTCATCTCCAGATTTAAAAGGAGATTGTTTCTAATTGTTGTCTGATAAAGACAAAACCTCAGCTCAAAACACAATATATTTGGAATTTCTGGACAGTCAAAGCATATAATTTTCCAGAAGGATGCAATAACCAGCTGCAACATTTAGGTTTAGGAAAGGACGAAATGGCCCAGGATTCAATTAACTAAGTGCCCTGGAAACAAATGGGTATCACAAAAGGCCAGGTAAAAAGTTGCAAGCATTACATTTAGAGGGAAGCAAGGAAGACTGTATGAGGAACAGTATATTTGATAAGGAAGAACATAACTGAATGGAAGATTCCAAATTTGAACCCGGAGGAAACTATTCAAGGCCTCAAAATTTGAGCTTGGTACAAAGAGTTAAGAGAAATATGCAGAACATGACAAGGAGGTCAGAAAGATATTTTACTTTACCTTACCTTGTTCACAAATTTTTTTGGTGAGAGAACCCTCATCTTGAAAATAAATTATGCGCTTCTGCACAATACTGGCTCTAGAAAGAGGGGAAAAAAAAAAAAGGAAAGGTTTCAAATATGCTTATTCCTTAAAGCAAAAAGAAAATGTACAATAAAACAGCAAAAGGAGAAAGGAGAGAAGTGGACTACTAAGGTCTGTATTGACAATTCATATATACAATACAGGACTACAGATAAAATATTTTTATTTCAACTTGCATTTGAATTTTGTCACATTTTACAGAAACTTGAAAGGTATTTACCTTTAGAGAAGTGATCATAGTCATATGGTGAGCATCTGTGCTCTTGAAATGTATGATGGTCAACTGAATATTCAATATTTCAATCAAATCTTATATTAAAATACTGAAGATATATTCAGTTTCAGAAAAATAGCACAGCTAAATTAAGCAGCTGTTTGTAGGAAATTACATGGCATCCTAAAGACAAAATTTTTTCTGATATATGACAGCAATTCAGTGCAAACATCATGTAAAACAAAATTTAGAAAGAGAGTTAGCATAAGGTAAAGTCTTCAAAAGCAATTCAAAGATTCCAGAAGGCAAGTCACTTTAAAATTAATTAAATCTAAGATATTTTATTAAGGTTTAGAGTTGAGAAAAATCGTAAATTTATAAGCCTCAGTTTCTCAGTTGAGGAGGGGTGGATATATTCAGTCCTACATAAACTTTAACTAGCTTTGTTACCATTTTTAACCATAAAAAATTAACTCACACATAAACTTTATCTTCTTTCTATAAGAAAAGAGATTTTGGTTAAATTCAAAGACATTTTACAGACAGTTTCCTGACACCATGCTCTGAGAACAGGCACTCTTCTTTGTTTACCACTAGTAGTGCACATTCTTCTAGGAGCCTTGTGTACCATCACTTTATTTAAAGCTCTAAATAGCAAGGACCAGTTTCTCGTCTTTCTTCAGCTTTAGTTAAATAATTTTCTTAATTTCTCTAGAATTATTCCTCACCCATGACAGCTCAAGCGAGAAGAAAAGTAAGACTGTGTATGATTGACATGTTGTTACAGTCATGTAACCTTTCTTTGACAACATCCCACCCTTAAAATTATCAAAAATAAGATGTAATTTTACTGTGCTTTCTTTGCCGAGATGCAGGGCTGCAGCAGGAGAGGAAGGGATCCTTCTTTTCACCCACAAGAATAACTGGGTTTTGTAAAACCTCTTAAAGATAAATCAAACTGTAAAGGGTGCAAAAACTACAGCCTGCTGTCGTCCTCAACAGGGTTGGCATCTCCTAAAGGAAGGTGTGGTAAAGAGCAGTACAGGTAACCAACCAAGGTTGTGAAAAAACAGCATGAAACAGAGTAGAGCAAACTGACTTTTACTAAAAGCAAGGGCATGATCTGCCAGTATTTGGTAAAAGGAAACTGCTAGGGATAAATATGAGCTTGTAGCAAATAACAGAAAGCAAATGAAACCTAGAGTTAGTCAGATGTCTTTTATTAATATAGGAACTGGTATGGGATGACCTAAACGGTGGCAGAAGGGACTGACCAAGTATGTGAGAAGCAGAATGAAAATTTTCTGAGAAACCATTTTCATGGTTTCTAACAAGATATAAGGGGGAGAAAATAAAACAAGCATAACTATCAGAACAACTGCTAGAAAAAATAAGAGCCCAGTGGCCAGCCTGGGACAGTAACACGCTATCTTTTTTTTTCCGGCCTTAGCCCTGAAAACAAAAGCCTACTTTAAAGACTTTTTTGGATGCTACACTGCAACTGAAAGCCAATACTTTCATGCACACTCAGTGAAACACATACAATTTTTGATACACCATCAATCATGGATTTTCAATCACTGCACCACAAAACTGGAAAACGGTCATTTAGGATAATTAATAAAATGCAAAGCAGCAGTAAACTGAAACGCATTCACATATGAATTCACAACTCACATCTCGTCAACATGCTTTCATCACTGATACACTGGCCAATTACCAGGGCCAATGGTACCTTTACTGATGTCCTGGATGAGGGGTTGGAATTCAACCTCAACAAGTTTGCGGATGGTACTAATCCATGGGAGCAGGTGACATGTTGGAGAGTAAAGCTACTATTTAGACAGGCATATTACTGACAGATTTGAGAAATGGCTTGGCATGAATCCCAATAAAAGTCAAAGGCAAAGGCACATGGGATGGAATAATTCAGCTACAACAGTACAGTAGAGGGCACCTGCCAGCCAGAGAGCAGCTTTCCAGGAAAGGCCTGGAGCTCTTGGTGGGCAAGCTGACCATTGCCACCAAGGCAGCCACCAGTCTCCTGGGTGGTGTCAACAAAAGTGTAGCAGGCTGATCAAGGAATATGACTTCTTCCCCTCCATTAGGCACTCCTGAGACCACACCTGGAGCATTAATGCCAGTTTTGGGCTGTCTGTTTAAAGACAGTCCTTGCACTGCTAGAGAAACTCCAGTGAAGGGCCATCAAGATGGTAAAAGGAATGGAGCACATGATGCCTGAGCAGAGGCTGAGAAGACTGGGCTCACTCAGTCTAAAGAAGAAAATGCAAAGGAAGTATCTTACTGCTTGTTGTCTTCAACTACCTATCAAAAAAATACAGAAAACCTACAGCCAGATGCTTCTCAGCAGTGTGTGGTGGGGACACAAGAAATGCCGTGCAGTTAACAAGGAAAATCTCTCTCACCACGAGGATGGTCAAAGTGATGAAACATTGGAATGGGTTGCCTAGAGAGTTTGTGCAATCTCCACTCCTGGAGATATTCAAAACTTCTTCAAATCCATGTCTTGGCCACCTACTGATGTAACAAACTAACTGATGTAATGACAGCTATTTCAAGTAGGGTAAATGACATCCAGAAGTCCCTTCCAATATAAATCATTCCACCATCCGAATCCAAACAAACAAGAACTGTTTGATAAAGATCTCAATTCTGCAGATAGCAAAGACATTACCAGTATTTAACTCGAGAAGCAGTTTTTAGTTATTTTAGAAATAAAATATATAAAGATTTTTTGAAACCTGAAGCGTACTCATATTATTCTTTTTGCTGCAGTTAGCTTGTCACTGTGAAATGTCAAAGGAACAGTTCCTTTTCTAATAACAAAAGCTTCACAGTTTTCTGAGTCATTGTCTCTTCAGCTGTGTTTGAAACTACACAAGGAGACAATAATTTAAATGGGAGTTTTGTTACTGATTCCAAATGGACTGGGATTAGTACCTTAGATGGCTGCATAAATATCAAAAGTAGGCATACAGCTTTCCAAATACTCAGTCAGAAATAATTTTAAACTATTGTTTTAATAATAAGCTTCTAGATTAGAAACATACAAAAACATCTGATCCTTGTATTTGATAGCTTTTACCCCTACCTTACATACCCCTACAATGCTTTTTTACATAATTTTTATTCGTCTAGAAAAGTTCTGATCTTTGGATTAAACATTCTTTCCTTTGGTTTTGAGGCTTACAAAACCAGCTGGAAATGGAATGGCTAACTTTTACAGAGAGGTAAGAAAGCTTTCAAGAATTTACACAGAGTACATCTCTGTTTAGTCTACATAAATCCTTCTCACCACTTCAAACATCCAGTGCTGTATGAACCTAATGGGAAGGGGAGATCCAATTGCTTTCCCCCATATATTAACATATATAAGTGGATCTTTGATTTCTTATTTTTTCTTGTTGACTTGTTTCTCTCTCTGACCATCACAGAACCATGAATGAAAAAAAAAAAAAAAGAAAAGAAACATGACTATAAAAATCTGTTTGTTTCCCCATTTCTTCAAAGTGATGCTTCTGGATTTATTCTGAAGTTTTTCCATCCCCAAACTAAGAAGTAAAACTGTAAGCTACAGGCATATATAAACCTAGCAGCACCTACTTTTATTAAAGAAAACCAAACAAACAAATCATCCTAAAAGTGTCACTTATTTCTTTTTTGCAGTTCTCACAGTAAAATGAAGGAATATCTAGTTGCTTCTGTAACATTTGGTTTGGCAGAATGTTATAGTTTGGATACAAGCAGGTCAGAGTCTCTATCCAGGCTCAGTTCGGTCAGAACACATCTGAGAGCTGTGTGAAAAGACTGTCTTGAAAGACTTCCATGGAATAAGAAAATTCACTATCCAGCACAGTTCCACAAAAATTGGACCAATCTGCAGCGAAAAACTCCAGTGAAGACACATAACTTGCATGTACAAACAGGAAATGCCATAAACCATAAAAATCCAGACCAGCCTTGGGAATGCTCCAGTTCATACCAGAAACAGAGGAGTTAGTTTGGTGTTTTTTTTTTTTCCTTTCCTTCTTCCATAGAAACAGTTTTATATCATCTTCCTTACTACTTTTGTCAAATCCTAGCATGAACAGAAATACTCTTATTTCAAATTACTTTTGTGGAAGCACTGATTTGACAAAAGAAGTAAGGGAGAGGTCCTGTAAGAATTGTTCCTATGACATTTTTTAAGCTTACATCAAAACTATTAAGTACAATACTAGAGCTACATTTTAATAAAACAATTTTTTTCAGAGCTGGTGAGAATACTCTAAGTTTTACTCGGATATTGAGAAATAATAATAAAGAACTAGAATGCAGATAAAAAACTTCTTCTGTTCTGTATTACCTATGACTTAACCTTGTTTTGCCCTTCCAGTTATCAAAATTACATGTTAATTATTCCCTGCCTTACTAATTTAATAACAGTATTATAAGTTGTTTCTCACCCCAGAAAGCTATTAAGAACAATTAACAGGATAAGTTCATTTGCTTTTTCGGTTTTGCTGTCTTTTGGAAAGAAAGAATTTCTAAATGTACCATTTTCTTTAGCACTAGAAAGTGAGGTGAAAACCATGCATTTACATCTACTGTAATTTTGCTAGTACTAGTAGATTTCATAATTCTAATGCATTATTTAGGATGTTCTCATTTTATTTCCTTCTATGTTGTCTTACAAAAAAAGCCAACCCTGTGTTTCTGACAAGCAATTACAATGTCAGGAAATGCACAAAGTCCCTGAAATTTACCAACAATATTTACTT